ACAATGCGTCCTCTCGGTCAGGATTCAGGATTGGTTACAACATAGTATACTCGACAAAAACCAGCCATTATCATCAGTGTACTAGCTCAGTTTTTCTGCTAGTGGGTCCTTGGTTCTTATTCCAAAACTAGATAAAGGAATCTACATGACATGAATGTGAATAGGATACAACATGGTTATAGGACTGCTAAATATAAATCAGTCAGAGGTTTTATGATGAGTTTGTTGCGTCCTAAGATAACCTGTAAAACAGTTCTTAGATATAAAGATAGAACACAATCTACATATCAATAGGCAAGCATGTTTCTTTAAAACCTTTTTTCTCAGCTCGTGTGCATCGCAGGGAAAATCTACGCATACCGTTGGAAAGATATTTTCCTGTAGAGGTGCAGAATCCCTTTAAAAAATAATATAAGCTCAAATATAAGCACAAAAAATCGATTTAAAATTTAAAAGAATTAACATGATGGGCTTTATGGGTTGCCATGCTGGACACAAATAAAAAACTAGGTAAATAGCCTAAACAGAAAATCAAAACAAATGTAAGAAATTACAATCACAATAGTAGGTAGTGCCTGTACCTACATTAGATATTTTTGGTCGAGTTTTCGACCACTGGACGACGACCTCTAGTAGGCTATTGATCAAATACGCATCATACTTTATACATTATTTCATAATCGAAACTTGGAAGAAAATTGTTCACAGGTCAAAGTGCACAACAACACAAACAGTGCCTACTAAATATTGAATGCTTATTCATTATGCGACGGGCAGACATCCAAAGGCGTGTTTAGTGTTTACCTTGCCCTACGGCCTCGGGAGCTTGGCAACATAGCGCGGTCGTCCCCTTCCTATTCCGCTGTACACGCTCACGGCTACACAGCTAGGTCTACTCACTCATCTATTGTAAACTCCGAATTAGCCTATAGCCTAGTTGACAAATAGGCAGTTTTCTTTTTAACATAAATATGACAATTTTCTAAGTGATTTGCATGACAAATAATGAATAGTCGTCAAACATCACAATTATCTTAAGCTAATTACCTATATGATGCATTATAAAATCTGAAGCTGGTTCTAGTATGTACACTAAGTTGATGCAGGCTAACTTAAATATGTTGGGCCTATCTCTTAACTTTAGGTACCGGAAAATAGGTATTTAACTCAATATGAATACAAATATTATATGGGTAAACTTATTTAATATTTGTATATAGCACTCTAACTTCCGGACTACGCCAAATAAACTTTGTTTGAAAAAATAGATCAGATATCACATCCATCAAAATAAAAGCTCCCTCTACATAAACCAGGAAGACACCACACTTTAAAAACTTAGGCCTTTTGAAATTGCCTTCACCTTTTCAATTTCATTGGGACCCTTAACTTAATAGATTTATCTAATAAATACCGGTACCACCGGTATTTATTAGATAAATCTATTAAGGCTCTGGTACTCTCAAATTAATTCATCATTTAGTTAAGGTCTAAAATAGTTTCAAAATATGTTTCTCTCCAGTCAGTTAGGTTTAAACGTTATTGATGGAAGTGTGTTTTGATGTTTCCTAAATTTCTTTTCATTCAATCAATCAATTTTCTTTATTGAGATTCCTTTAAGAAATACAATTGGTAGTGTCATATAGGCTACACAGATTGTCATTTGAATTTTCATCTCGCTTAACAATTTTGAATGGTTGATCTATTAGCCAATCTTTGAGTTTGCTCTTCAAGTCTTGATTTCTTAAGATCTTCAAGTGGTTGGGCAGGCTATTGACGACCTTTCATCCCATGTAGGAAGGCTTCCTGCTGTATTGGGTTGTATGGTGAGCTGGGAGAGGGTAGTCTGTAGCTCTTGAGTGTTGTGCGAGTGAGAATCTTTTCCTCTTGTAAGCTCACTCCGTTCAGTACAGTATAGTTATACCCGGTTCAAACAGCCGTGGCACCTGACAGATTAGGAGAACCCGTGGAAACCCTTGGAGTCTCCTAATCCCTCAGGTGCCACGGCTGTTTGAACCGGGTATAATCACTGCAAGGATGTATAGTGCTATCACAGTCATGATTTTCAGTGATTCATAAGCTTCCCTGCAGCCTTCTGTAGGGCTGAGATCAGCTAGTGTTCTTATAGCTTTTATCTGAAGTCACAGTATTCTTGTAAGGTTCTGATCTGTGGTTCCACCCCAGTCCACTAATCCATATCTTATGTGGGACTCTACTAAGGCATAGTATGCAGTCTTAGTTGCTTCCTGTCCGCTACGCATTACATAAATTCCTGATCCTATTTTTTTGTTCATTAACATTAAAACTAAAAACTAAATAGTAGAAAGATATGTTTACTGTAGAAAGATATAATACTGTATGCTTATTCTCATCCTTCATGTGCTTCCCTCCAGTATGTGGTAGGTTTACCGAAGCTCACACTTTAATAATTATACTTAAACTATATAGGCCTAAGTTAGGATACCCACAGAGAAATAATTTAAGTAGGCCACATGGACATCCTAAACAGAATCCAAACACGTTTCCTCAGACTGCTAGGTCTTAAACTTGGATTCCCCTTCCTGCAAGCACTAGTGACAGCCCTGGCCCTGCAGTTTGATATACAACCTGTTCCAGTGAGAGACCACATCATCTTCCTGTATAAACTGGTAAATGTGATCATCGATTGTCCTGAGCTATTAAACGATATCAACCTCACCTTTCCCAGGGGCACTCAATCCGGATCTGTCTTCACAAGGAGATACCAGCCGACCAACTACGCTCGTAACCATGGCATCTCTAGACTCCTGAGAACCAGCGAAGATGTGTCTTCTTGTCTCGACTTTTCCGGGCCATCACCAGCTTCATTCAAGCGAGACGTCCGGAGGCTACTCCTCTAAAGTGACCTCACTACAATGTTCACGGAACGGTGTCGTGTTTTGTTTATTGGTGGCGCCTTTAAAGGGCCACAACCACATTGTGGGGCGGGGGAGTGTTTTGATTTTTCCTGCTGTTGCATCAGAGTCTATCTTTGTTATCTTCTATAAATTTTATCACTGTTGCCTACTTTACATCTAGTTATCATTCATTATCACTGTTATCTATTTCTAGTCTGTTATTGCTATCACCATTACTCAGTTCCATATTGCATCCATCACCACTGCCGGTATTGTTGCCAATTATTATTGTTAGGCTTACCGTACCTAGTTATAACTTCGACTATTTATCACCAAGCATGAAATAGGCCTATATAGGGGCCTATTGATATTGTTATCTATAGTTATAGTGTATTAATCGCCAAGCATGTTACTTAATTAATATGATTACCGGTAGGCCTACCTACTCTTCATAGTTATTATAAACAACCGCATGTCATTTTCATTGAAAATTCATCTTTGCATGTATCACTGTTATTATTATTAGGCCTATTACCATAACATGGTGATGTAAGTTATCTGCACAATATTTAGGCCTAACTTGTCAATAAAGCTTCTTGTCGCATGTATCACAATGTAAAATTGGTGTTTGCCGTCAACATAAATAAATAAATAGGCTACTGTAGCCTAAATAAAAAAGGCCAACCCTACAAAAATAAGAAATAAATAACAACTAAGTTAGCTGAAATCGCTACCCTATAACTTAACTAACTTTTAACAGATTTCTCATCCTTATAGAACAGCTAAAGACAATTTTATTGTTAGACCTGTAGTTTCTGTACGGTGTAGGCCTACTGTAGAGGTAAGTTACACGTTTGCGCCCAATGTCACCGTAAGTGACATTCGAACTAACTTTCGACACGAAAAACAAAACGAGCTACGAAATTTACAATGGGATGCCAAGTTACAACTTAAGTACTCGGCTTACATTAATACATGTGGTCATCTAATGATCATGATTGACAAACGGCTAACTTACAAAGGTCTAACTAAGGATTTTAAGGGCTTAATCTAACTTACATGGACATTGAATGATTATTTATACTGTCATAACTTAAGTTATGATATGTACTTAATTATGAGATTCATTACATAGCCTACATTATTAAGCCTATTTTTTAAACATAATAGACCTAAAGATACATAAAAAGCCTTTACCTATATCAATAGGCTAAGTAGGCCTATATTGCCATAAGTTAGTGCAGCCCGCAGCCTTCCAACACCTAACTTATTAACTTAGGTACTAACCTTAAAGAAGGTTCAAACATGTTTTAAATATTTAGCAAAGTTACCTTAGTTGATTGGTTTAACTGATCAAGTCTTGAGACGCTTGGAACCAAGAATTAAATTAAGTTTATGAAGGAGCACATTGGTTGTAGAGGTCTATGCAGCTTCAGAGAGAGATTGATAGGCCTAACTTAATTTACGTTTAACTTATTTAAAGTAAAATTAAGCAGTAAAACTTACGATTGGGACATCAAATTTGGGCTACAAACAATAATTAGGCTACAAAATTACTAGCCTTTTAACTTCAAAGTTTAACATTCGTTTTGGCTGCACTCTAGAACAGTTTCATTTCATAATCAGCTGGTAACTTAACTTAGTTATATCATTGACAATTGGATACAACAGTTGCTATAGCTCATAACAAGTCATTCTATCAGTTTGACTTGGTAAAAACCATCGTGTAGTCGGCAGAAATCAGTAATTTTAGATCAGCGCAATCTGTAGGTGGCTCACATCAACTAAGACAAATTTGATTAAAAACCTGGCTACAACTTTAACATGGGGATAGAATGTTTTAAGGTTCTATCATTGACTATTGGATAATAGTCAAAGGTTGTGTAAACTTACTTAAATTAATGTAGGACGCAAGTATTTTTCTAGTATTCGTGGTAGTCTAGTACGTAAACTAAAGTGCAACCGAAACATCATAATATAAACTCATTAATGAAGAAAACTAAACGGGAAGATCCACTACAAGTTACACCTGGGCTCGTCTTTGAGCCGATGTTCATCTGCTCAATAATAAACTAAGGTAAAGCTAGGCTGCATATTTTTACAAAATGATGACTGAAAACATACCTGTCTGAGCTTTCTGAACTGTCGTAGCGATCTACACAACGTTTCTTTCTGCAATTATGACCATTTTCATCGTGTATCGATTTCAGTGAGGACGAAAATTCCTCGGTGTCTGAACCCATCACACGGCCATCCATTCCGGGGCAGCTTCTCAACTGCACGCCATTTAACTGGAATTTTGAACACAAGGCGTCACTCTCACAAACAAAATACGTAGACTTAACACTATCTTCTGTATTATTGCTGTCCTCACTCGCACTTCCTAATAAAACGTCGTTTTCATTTACAACTAAATTTTTACATACAGGCAACCCATCAACTAACGCACAGTCCGCCATCTTATAACACACTATGCATGCACTTCACTCAGACTCAGCTCAGCCCACTCTGGCTCTGTGGCGGCAGTCGGCACTGGCTGGCACTACCACCACTACTAGTGGAAGTGGGCAGTCAGTGGCACTAGTCGACAATCGTGTTTCCCCTCTCGTCCCTCTCTCCTCTTCCTCTGTTCTTTCTCATTCTCCCTGTTTCTCTACTCGCCGCTATTTTCTGACGTCACAGTGGCGGGGGGAAAGAAATGCGTGACGTCCTTAGCGTTTAAATTTTTCATCTTTTAGCGAATTTCCCATAATAGGGGGGAATAAGCTATTACCGTTGGTCTCATGGTCTGGACACGGGGCCGTTTACTTTTTGATTTTTGGACTCTGTAACGTCAAAAACACCATCCCCTCAAGTTCATTTAAATTGGCCGTTCGTTAGCACGATAGCAATAATCAACCGATCATGATTAAATTTGGGCACAAACGTGTAAACCTACTACATTTAGTTAAACAATCTCGCAAACCAGAATTTATTTATTTATTTATTTACACGGTAAACAAAAAGTTTACAACAAACATAATGACAGTATGGATATTGAAAAGATCAAGAACAACATTAACAAACTAGCATACTGAACAAATATATTTACCTTGCTTGCTTGGCAATGGCAACTAAGCAGAAAATCTATAAATAGACATCTGAACAGAAAAACCTTGATATGAACATATGCGAGCATCATGATCAGATCAGACTATAAAGGTCGATGGGGTTTGTATGGGTGGTTTAACTTAGTACTTTTTTTAATACTTTAATACCTTTTTCTGAAATAGCTATATGGTAACAATACATTTTTCCTACAGTTACCTAACAATGTACATGTTCTCTCACTGATTTGAGAAAGCAAAGTGGCCAATTCGCTCATCAGTGAGACAATGTTAACATTGTCTCACTCTAATTACTTTGTCTCACTCCAGATTTGCAACGTGAAGGCACGAAATAGTGAGCGCGTAACATGCAGGCAACTTCGCATGCGCGCGAAATACGTTGGCAGCACTGACTGTAAATCAGCTGGTCAGTTGTTGTACTGTTGTATTTGTCACTTTACATTTAATGTTATATTAGAAGTTCACTTCTGTGTAAAAATAGGTTATGTTTCTTCACAAATTTATTTGTTTTATGGTAACTGTAGGAAAAGTATAATGTGCAACTCGAGTTCAAAGTACAATTGTCTCACTCGAGAAACCATTCCTCACTCGCCTACGGCTCGTGAGTAAGGATTTCTCTCGAGTGAGTCAATTGCTCACTTTCCTCACTAGTTGCACAAATAACTATTTCCTACAGTCACCCGACAAAGTTGGCTTCCTTGTACTGTTTATAGTACTACAGAAAGCTGCTAATCGCTACATATATTTATACTTTGGTTTATACTTTGTCGTAGGGTTTATACTTTGGCGCACATCAGGATTCCAACGAAACAACACAAAACAGCGTGGTTCTATTGTGCACGTAATCCGTGTACGCTTGGAAATAGGTTGGCAACACTTAAAGATAATAATACTATGAGCAGCTGATTGACTATTATAACTACGATTTGACCTGTCATTTCGTGTTTATAGTTTCGGTATTTCTGAACTTTCTGGACTTTTCTTTTAAACGTTTTTTAAACATTCCTACGATCTTAATAGACAAGAAAATACCTTTAAAGCATTTTTTAGGCGCGGAAACCACATCAAATTACAAAAACAAACGGAACTAAATTCTCAAGTCGCGGAGCACATTTCTTGCCGAGGAAAAATAGCGGAGTGATACGGACCGGGTACTACTTTCTCTAGGGCACCTATTTGTGTTGCCAGCTGAACCTAAAAACGTGTTCTATAGTGTTTGAAAGACTAATTATTTTTCCTACAGTCACCCGGCAAAGTTGGCTTCCTTGTACTGTTTATAGTACAGAAAGCTGCTAATTGCTGCATATTTATACTTTGCCGTACGGTTTATACTTTGCCGCACATCAGGATTCCAACGAAACAACACAAAACAGCGTGGTTCTATTATGCACGTAATCCGTGTACGCTTGGAAATAGGTTGGCAACACTTAAAGATAATAATACTATGAGCAGCTGATTGACTATTATAACTACGATTTAACCTGTCATTTCGTGTTTATAGTTTCGGTATTTCTGAACTTTCTGGACTTTTCTTTTAAACGTTTTTAAAACATTCCTACGATCTTAATAAACAAGAAAATACCTTTAAAGCATTTTTTTTAGGCGCGGAAACCACTTCAAATTACAAATACATACGGAACTATATTCTCAAAACGCGGAGCACATTTCTTGCCGAGGAAAAATAGCGGAGTGATACGGACCGCGGGTACTACTTTCTCTAGGGCATTTGTGTTACCAGCTGAACCTAAACGTGTTGTATAGTGTTTGAAAGACTAATTATTTATATGCTTTATAGTGACTGTAGGAAAAATATAATGTGTAACACGAGTGAAAAAGGCCTTTGCTGCACTCGAGATCATTCCGCACTCGCCTGCAGGTCCGTGAAGTTGGCGTACCCATATTAGCTTATCCACTTTTGATCATACCAATCGTTAGTTCATCGTTAGTTCTCGATAGTTCCCAATTTTTTTCGTTAGTTCTCAAAAAATAAAAAAGTTATAGCCGATAATAAGTGGGTACCGGTACGCTAACTACACACTTCCGGGTTCTAGCGCGCGCCGTTTTCCGATAAGAAATGTTTACATCTATATACCAATCGTATTAGTTCTTCGTTAGTTCTCGATAGTTCTCCATAGTTCTCCAATATTTACGTTAGTTACAAAAAATAAAAAAGTTACGAGGCATACAGAGTGGGTACGCTAACTTCACAACTATACAATTTCCAGCGGGCACCGTTTTCTGACTATAAATGCTTATATCTATACCCCAATCGTTAGTTCTTCGTTAGTTCTCGATAGTTCTCCAATATTTACGTTAGTTCTCAAAAAATAAAAAAGTTACGAAGCATAAAAAGTGGGTACGCCAACTTCACAATTATAGAATTTCCAGCGGGCACAGTTTTCTGACTAAAAATGCTTATATCTGTATACCAATTTTTTGTTCTTCGTTAGTTCTCGATAGTTCTCTAATATTTACGTTAGTTCTCAAAAAAAAAAAAGTTATGAGGCATAATAAGTGGGTACGCTAACTTCACAATTATAGAATTTCCAGCGGGTACCGTTTTCTGACTAAAAATGCTTATATCTATATACCAATTTTTAGTTCTTCGTTATTTCTTGTTAGTTCCCCAATATTATTGCTAGTTCTTAAAAAAAAGGGCAATAAGGTCTTAAACGTGGTTATGCCAACCTCACACCCAAATCATTCCTAGCGTGCACCCTTGTCTGACTAAAAGTGCCTATATATTAATATTAATCGTAAGTTATTAATACCTCACCGATTTATTTTTTTAGTTCTAAAAAAATTAAAAAATTGCACCTGATGAGTTGAAGCTGACCTAACGATTTGTATATAGATATAAGCATTTTTATTCTGAAAACTGTGCCCGCTGGAAATTCTATAATTGTGAAGTTGGCGTACCCACTTTTTATGCTTCGTAACTTTTTTTTATTGGAACTTATTTTTAGTATTGGAGAACTATCGAGAACTAACAAAGAACTAACGATTGTTATATAGATATCTATTATATTATTAAAGTGATACAATCAAATTTTATTTAAACGGTTAAGGCCATTTACCAAATAAGAATATAGGTATATGGCACATCAAAATGAAGCTTAGAGTGTGTAGATTTGCCGAAGAGTATTGATATGGGCGAATTTCCTGAGGACTCTGCCTCACAGGCTGATTTCCAAAGGGCTACGCCTGGCATGGTTACAATCTTTAAGTGATTTAATTTAATTAAGTAAATGAAACAGCTGGTCAGTACAATGAACTGGTGTTTGTTTTTTTACTCGAAAAAGGTGTTTGTGACGCTTTATGTAGATTGAGGAGGGTTATGTTTGGTTTTAAAGTGAGGTTGTATACGTTTTGTAAAGTATTGTTCAAAGTTTCATTTTTTAATTTATATAGTAAGCTACATGTGAAGAGGCTTGACTAAAATTGAAGAATTATGGTAAAACATGTCATTCATGAAACATCAATATGAAGCAATTGATGCTAATTCCTACACTAAGGTATGTTTTCATATTCTTTTGGATCTATTAACATCAAAAGTAGGGGTTTGAAAGTGAGTAGGTTTACGCCTTCAAATCAGTTTATATTTTCAAACTAAATCATAGAGTTGCTGTATTTTAAAACACACATCAGCACCACTTTAAAAGCTCTCTAAGTCACATTTTCTTCCCGTTGCAAAGCACGGGTATAGCAGCTTGTAACCATTTATAGTCAGAAAACGTTGCCCAATGGAAATTGTATAATCGTGAAGTTAGCAAACCCAATTTGTATGCCTTGTAATTTTTTTTATTTTTTGAGAACTAACGTAAATATTTGAGAACTATCGAGAACTAACGAAGAACTAACGATTGGTATATAGATATAGGCATTTATAGTCAGAAAACGGTGCCCGCTGGAAATTGTATAATTGTGATGTCAGCGTACCCACTTTGTATGCCTCGTAACTTTTTAATTTTTTGTGAACTAACGTAAATATTGGAGAACTATCGAGAATTAACGAAGAACTAACAATTGGTATATAGATATAAGCATTTATAGTCAGAAAACGGTGCCCGCTGGAAATTGTATAGTTGTGAAGTTAGCGTACTCACTTTGTATGCCTCGTAGTTTTTTTATTTTTTGAGAACTAACGTAAATATTGGAGAACTATCGAGAACTAACGAAGAACTAACGATTGGTATATAGATATAAGCATTTTTATTCAGAAAACTGTGCCCGCTGGAAATTGTATAGGCCTAGTTGTGAAGTTAGCGTACCCACTTTGTATGCCTCATCGTAACTTTTTTATTTTTTGAGAACTAACGAAAAAATTTGGGAACTATCGAGGACTAATGAAGAACTAACGATTAATATATAGATTGGTATACAGATTGGTATATAGATGTAAACATTTCTCCTCAGA